GGGGGCATGTACCTCTGTATCTCTATCCCAAACTCAAGAATCCCTGGTTTAGTATCAACAAAGTGATCATGTGAAAACAACATAGAGTGCATCATTACGATACAAAGAGTAGAATACAGCAGCACAAGGAAAACTAGCCTTGGATCGAGGACATTCTTATTTATCACTTAATGAATCAAAAATAAAAATTCTCCCAATGTTTTCACAGGCCACACAAATCCGTATGGAAGGCTGCATTTGGTCTGCAGACCATAGCTTGCCCACCCCCGGTCTAGTGGCAAAAAAAAGTACAGAGAGGGACAAGGTATTATGATGTGTCACTTTTATGGCATCAAACTTGCACAACCCCCCCAGAAAAAAAAACCAGGCCCGTGGCAGGGTTCTAGCGTCTTCTCACCTGAGGACGTAAGCGGCCGTGGCCACAAAGTCCCCGCCATCTGCCACGAGGACAGCGTCGTCGGAGAGGACATCCTCCAGGGTGTGAAGGACCTTCAGCGGGTTCAGGTGTACGTCCGTCACTTCCTCGCACTTGGCCCTGGGGGAGTTTAGTGAGTTTTATTGAGAGTTTTTGACACTATGAATATGCAATGTGAACATGCGGTGCTACAAATGTGTGAGTGTGTGTGAGAGAGAGAGAGAGAGAGAGAGACAGAGAGAGACACAGAGAGACAGAGACAGAGAGAGACAAAGAGAGACAGAGAGAGAGAGAAAATGTTTTACGGAGCGGGTTGTCCCAGCCCGTGAGACTTGTATTTACTTGGCCTAATGTCCTGTCTTGTTGTGCGTTTGCGTGAGTGCACCTTTAGGTCTAACTTTTGTAACGTCTACTGCCATTGTTAACGACCAAGACAAATTTCTCCCAGCGAGATGAACAAAGATTGTCATTGTCATTGTCATCATTGTCATTGTCAATTTCATGTTTCTGATTTGTGTACAATTGTTCAAAATAAACGGCAACACTGCCTTTGGTCTTCTGCTGATCGGACATACATGTGAAGCGTGTCAACAAAATGAGTTACTTCTCGAAATCGAGCCCTACCTATGGAAATAAATACATCACGCTTTTCAGTGAAGTTTTTACAATTTATAAGTATGAAATAATAAAAGGCATGCTATACTTAAAAGAATATGGCATCAATAGAAAATCTACAAATTTGACCCTAGTGTCGATCTTTGGCCAATATCTCCACTTGTGGATTGCGAGAAGTAACTGATTTTGTCAGCACACCTCACATATGTCCACTACGTCCTCAGAGAGTTCATGTCAGTGTTCTTTCTACCGTGGCAAAGTTTTAAAAATAGTTTTAGTAAGAGTTTTACGGCATTTGCAACACAATAAGGTCATATAAGTGCCGAAAAATAGATGTGTTACAAGAGAGTAACATACACAAAAAAGAAGGAGGAGAGACAAGGACGATAGATGTTTGATAGGAAAGAAGGAGCAAACCACATCAGAGTACCCGTCAACCACCCACGCCCTGAAAGGTACACTAACACACAACAACAGCATAATAACGATAATAACAAACAGCATTTGTACAGCACAAATTCCAGCTCAACACCGAACTCTATGCGCTTCATGTTGTTGTAGTTGTTGTTGTTATCGATCCAGCAACATCTGGGCTCTCGCCCTTCTGTCCAATGCCATGTAGTGATAAGTGCAGGTTTGCTGCAGTTGCTGTAATGTTCCGTAGAGTGTGTTGTCGAAGTTAGGTCTCGGAGGGAGAAGGGTAGCTCTGATGCCATTTAGGGCTGTACAGTGGAAAAGGTGATGTTCCACTGTCTCATAAGCATAGTCACACAAAGTAATAGTTCTTACTAGATTCACTCTCTGGCACTCACATATGGCTTCTTCTTTACAAGGCAGAGGACCACCGCTTCCATTTCCACAGTGGAGCTCCCAAATATAATATTATCAACTCAAGTGCCTCCATTTTACAACAAAATCTTCTAGAATATTTGAATCAGACATGTGTATGTCGCAACCAGCAATGGCATGGTTGTGAAACTGTTCTGTATAGGTGTAACATTTTGTATTTATATGTATGTATTTATGTATGTATTTATAAAGCTGGGATCAATAAAAATGTAATTTATTATAATTACTTATTTATTTATTTATTATATATATGTATATAATAATATATGTTTACATACATAATGTAACAAATGGACAGTTAGAGAACATTAGGACTACGCCATTGGTCGATATTTATAGTAACAGCCATCTTGTTTGACCTATTCTTTAACATACTTAATATAATGAGCATTAACATAACACTTTGCTAAATTGGGGGGGGAGGTTTCTTCTTTTACTCCACATTTTTTTTTTCAGATCAGACAGTGAGACAGTAGGTGTGGAACTTCCTTTGTCTTTAGTCAGAATGAAGAACACTATATTATGACACAAACAAGATGGCTGTTACTATAAATATCGGCCAATGGCGTACTCCTAACGTTCTTTAACTATCCGTTTGTCATAAAGTATGCATTGTACTGTCTACATTTTTAAAAAATATTTTTTTAAAAATCAAAGCTACCCCCACCCCACAATAAAACAAAGAAGCAACTTACAGATTGGCTTCCTCTTTCTCCTGATCGCGGGAGCGGAGCAGACTGACCCACTCCGGGTCGCACTTGTAGCCCTTGAGGCCGGACACCACCGACGTGATGAAGCTGGCCACGTCCGACTGGACCGCCAACGTCGGTTTCCAAAACATGTCAGAATTCTGGGGAGTTGGGTTTTTTAAATTTTTTATTATATAATAGTTTTACGGCACTTGCAAAACAATAAGGTCATAAAAGTATTCAAAGATTAGAGGTGTCACAAGAGAGTAACAAACACAAAAAAGAAGGAGGAGGAGAGATATAATGACGATAGATGTTTGATAGGAAAGAAAAAGCAACAGCAAGAGTTGGGTTTAAATAAGAGTTTTACGGTATTCACAATAACGGCACAACTTAACACATTGCAGTCACACAGCCAGCAGTACAAAATACCCCATCGGGTCACCCAGTCAGGAGAGTGACTTCTCGGGCCCGGCACACAGAACTGCGCCAGGTGACCGGAACGGATAATTTTCACCAGCGCATTAATGCGCAAAGTGACCACAAAGTGTTAATAGACAGGCTACTTCAAACGATATCTCGTGAATACCAGATATTTTCAGAACAGAGGCGAACACTCTGGGCAGGGTAAATCTTTACCTTCAACAGCTGGGTCTTGTCTCGGTTCACACAAACAATCTTGCTCTTCCTCGACAACACACGCCCGTAGCTCAGCCTAAAGTCACACACCGCTCCTGGGAACACACAAAGAAAAAAAGGCATTACACCACTCACTTTCAACTAACAGATTTAAGGGGATGTTTTCTTCCCAAGCTACCCCACACATCTAATTGCCTCTACTCCTCAAGACAACAATTAGAACAGACATGGAGCTATTACAGAATGGCATCATGCAGAAGAGTTACCGCTCAGATGCTACTGGATCGCTAACAACAACAACAACAACAAGAACAACCACTCACTTTCTCAAACGCTGTACATATTCATGGTACTGTGCTCTTCTTAGTGCGTGAATGGAAAAAATATGTCACCTTTTTTTTTTTTTGTAAAGAAACCACTGCCAAGTCAATTTCTAGGCCTTCAATAAAATAAAAGTAATAATAATAATAATAATGACAATAACATTAATAAAAAATAACTGCATTTATATAAATGTAATTATCATTATATTATAGCTTTTTTCCTCCTAAAATGAAGGGTTTTTTTTTTTAAAAACGCCATTGACACAATTTAGACCATTTAGGAGGTGAGCTTCTAGCCCTGTCTGTCAGGGCCAGGCTGGGCTGAAAAGGACACAACATCCCGAAACGCCTAAATACTCTATAAAACTTTTCTCCCACTCGGGAATCGAACTCAGGTCTCCTGCATGCGAAAACAAAAGCGTCTAACCGCTACACCACAGATGCAGGTTTATTACTGCTACTGTGATCCACACAGCAACTGCAGAGCTTCCATCCCTCTGCTTCCTGTTGCCCCGCAAAATGTAAAAATAATTCACGCTTTAATCTTACACACCAGAATTTTACGGAACTTGCAACACAACTAGGTCATAATATAAAGTGCCGAAGATTTGGGGTATTACTAGAGCACAACACACAAAGAAAAGAAGGCATAGAGATGTGTTTTTAGATTTAGTAGAGGTTTTACGGCGCTTGCAACACAATAAGGTCATATAAGCGTTGAAGATTAGAGGTGTTACAAGAGAGTAACAAACATAAAAATGAAGCAGGAGAGATAAAGACGAAAGTTGTTTGATAGGAAAGAAGAAGCAAACCACACCAGAGCACCCGCCAACAACTCACTGCACAGAGATAAGGATGACAGATGTTTGATAGGAAAGAAAGAGCAATAGATGCCAAAGCACCCGCCCGCCAGCCACCCATTTACCAGCCAAAATAACCAGGTCGGCCTCCTTCAGAGCATCTCGCCTACGCTGTCTGGCTTGGATCTCGCTGCGGCGACCGAGCAATCCGCGAGACATTCCACCCAAGAAGCAAGGAACGCCCAACGTCTGTACAACAAACATGGCAAAATATAATTATAATAATAATGATAATGACAAAAATAATGATAATGATGATACTAAGAAAAAGAAGGAGGAGACGGAGTTTGTTCAGTAAGGTTTTACGGCACTTGCAAGACAATAAGGTCATATAAGTGCCGAAGATTAGAGGTGTACCAAGAGAGTAACAAACACAAAAAAGGAGGGGAGTTCAGGACGATAGATGTTTGATAGAAAAGAAGGAGCAAACCACACCAGAGCACCCGCCAACCACCCACGAGGAGAAGCAGGGGGAGGAGGAGGAGGAGGAGGAGGAGGAGGAGGAGGAGGAGGAGGAGGAGGAGAGGAGGAGGAGGAGAAGAAGAAGAAGAAGAAGAAGAAGAAGAAGAAGAAGAAGAAGAAGAAGAAAAAGAAGAAGAAGAAGAAGAAAGAAAGAAAAACAGCTTACCTCCAAAGCTTTGCGGAAGTCCTCCACAGGTGTTGGGGGTAGGGTGGCCTGACTGCCCACCAGGACGACCGGCTTCTTCGCCCGCGAAATCAGCTCTTGGCACTTCTGAACTGGAGAACGACGGAAAAAAAAATGTTGACAGAGTGGAAAGGGGGCTGAAGGCAATACCCCATGCTGGTGGACACATTTCAAAAGTAACACAGGCATTGGCAACAATTTCACACGTTACAGAAATTGACAACAATTTTACAAGACGTTAACAACTATTTTACAAGTTACAGAAATTGACAACAATTTTACAAGTTACAGAAATTGACAACAATTTTACAAGTTACAGAAATTGACAACAATTTTACAAGTTACAGAAATTGACAACAATTTTACAAGTTACAGAAATTGACAACAATTTTACAAGTTACAGAAATTGACAACAATTTTACAAGTTACAGAAATTGACAACAATTTCACACGTTACAGAAATTGACAACAATTTCACACGTTACAGAAATTAACAACAATTTCACACGTTACAGAAATTGACAACAATTTTACAAGTTACAGAAATTGACAACAATTTCACACGTTACAGAAATTGACAACAATTTCACACGTTACAGAAATTGACAACAATTTCACGAGTAACACGGACACTGACAACCCTGCCCTACAGAAATGTGTACGTCATGTTGTATACTCACTCTGACTCTGCGAGGCTTGAGGGATGTCCAATGGTATAGGAGATGTATCTCGGATCTGCCACGCTCCGGCGAACAAGTTAGCCAAGTGGTTCCCCAAATACCTGCGGAGCAGAGCGGGAGCAAAGAGTCTACATAACAAGAGGGGCCACTTCTCTCTTTGAGCCAATTAAAAAAGTGTCCTCAAAATTCGGTGGCGCCCTCTTCACAAAAGCGCACCCTTTGCGAACAGAGTTACCCTACTTGAGTTTAAAAAATCAAAGTGAAACTAGCAAGTTTTTTTAATAAATTTCGGAAGAACGCTTTTTTAAAATGGTTACGCTAACAAAAAACCTCTTCCGGAGGAAAGGGTGATTGTTTTCTTCGTTTAATTTGACTTTAGAAAGAAAGGCGAGAGGTCATTAAGATAAAAAAAAAACTAAAACTCCACACTGAACGAACCCGAACTGCTGATGAACAGCAGTCGATCTGCGCACGCAAGGAGGTGCTATTCCTATTCTTCTTCTGGAAAAACGAAAGAGAGCTTCAAAACAGACTGCAGCGCCATCTGGAGCAAAGAGCGAACTTCCCGCGGACACTTTTTTGGCTGAGTGGCCCATCTTGTTATGTACTATCTTTGGCGGGAGTCAAGTCAAGACAAGACGGTTAACCCTATCCGTACGCCCTGGGGTCATTTTGTACCCCCGGGGTTGTATTCTTCACATTTTAGAATACTTCTAGTGCAAAGATCTTTTTGAAACTTTCAGTATTTCCCAAAAAATCATTTTGACAGACTGCTATGCAAAACGTACGGATCGGATTAACAAGCACTCTCTTTGGAAAGTGATGGCACAGAGTTCCCCACGTCGTATGGATATGATAGTAAAACACGACGTACGGATAGGGTTAAGATGCACTTGAGTTTCATCAGAGACTTGGGGGGGGGGGGGGGGGGGTCCGCTTTTTGTTGTATTTTTTTTCCATCTGGGCTTAGTTTTTAGATTAAGTAAGAGTTTTACTGCACTTGCAAAGTCTGTGGGTTCAAACCCCAACAGAGCCCCAACATTGTGTTCTGGAGAAAATGCATTTTACAGGAATTTTCCTCACTACATCCAAGTGGGAACAGGTGCACCCTTTTCTCCTGATGGCGATAGATGATCTTGTCTTGTCAGTTTGTTTGTGTTTGAGCGCTTAATCAGCTGCTTGCACTGTCTGCTTCTGGGGAAGCCGAAAATGTTTCCGAGTGTTCTATGGTCTGATGGAAGTAACAACAGTTGTAAAGCGCACAGACATTGAGCATACTTTTAGTTAGTAGAGTTTTTTTACGGCGCTCGCAACTGCATAAGCTCATATGAGCGCCAAGGGGTGGGCGTCAACAGAGAAGTCCATGAAGAGAATCAGACTTACTCTTCTCACCTCTCTAGCTTCAACAGCGCAAAGTCTGCTTCGACTATCGAGGCACCCCAGAAATAGCGGGTCACAAGAGAGTGACAAACATACAAAAGAAGTAGAGGAAAAATGACGATAGTAAGGATTGGGGAAAAAAAAAGGAGCAGTTCCGCGTATGCAGTTCAGGTACAGTTATGAACAGGACATTGATAAATCAGCCCATCTGCAATTCCACTGTGCATAAGAACAGGTTAATGTCCCCCCTTTGGGAATAACCAAAAGACAACTTTAGACAGTCGCCTCACCCCGCGGGGGTTGTGGAGCATACTGTAGAGCGAAGATATGCGCTATATAAATGCAATTATTACCATTATCTTTATTCTTACTAGTTGTTTTAGTAAGTGTTTTACGGTACTTGCAACACGATAAGGTCATATAAATGCCGAAGATTAGAGGTGTTACAAGAGAGCAACAAACACAAAAAAGAAGTAGCGGAGATAATGACGATAGATGTTTGATAGGAAAGAAGAAGCAAAAACTGAGCAGGACGGCCAAATTTATGACAGATACCAGACTTCAAGTGTGACGCGATCGAGAAGAAGAAGAAGAAGAAGAAGAAGCAAACCACACCAGAGCACCCGCCAACCATCTGCTCTTACCAGTTGACAACTTTCTGTCCCAGGCTGGTCGGGCCTTGTTCTTTTATTCCCACCTCCTTCTTGACCAGCGAGTACGGATACAAGACGTCGATGGGAAACTCCACGAACACAGGGCCTGGGGCAGAATTTAGTTTTAGTTTTAGTAAGTGTTTTACGGCGCTCGCAACTCTGCAAAAGGTCATATGAGCGCCAGAAGATTAGAGGTATTACATAAGAGTAACAAACGTAAAAAAGAAAAAGGGGAGATAAGGACGATAGATGTTTGATAGGAAAGAAGGAGCAAACCACACCAGAGCACCCACCAACCACCCACGGACATTTTGTAAGTTGCATTTTCCAACAAAAAGAAAGTTTTAATAGACACGACTAATACGGGGTTACTTACAATACAAATGCTAAGAATAATAATTGAAAATTATTGTTCTTCTCGTGAAAATAATACAAATAACTGGGGAGAATAGAAAGACAGCATCTCCTTTATCCACAAGGGGTCCCAGATTTTCTTGAAGCATAAAAAAAACAAGAAAAGGGGGAACTGTTCGGTTTGTGAAGATGACGATGATGATAATGATGATGATGATGATGATGACGATGATGATGATGATGATGACGATGATGATGGTGGTGATGATGATGGTGATGATGGTGATGACGACGACGATGACGATGATGAGGATGATGATGATGATGACGACAATGATGATGATGATGATGATGATGATGAAAATTAAGATGACGAAGATGATCAGCATCATTTCACAAGTGCTTGAGTCATTTTTTGAAGTTTTGAGAAAATTAAAGAAAAAAATGATGATGATGACGATAATGATGATAATGATGATGATGACGATGATGATGATGACGACGACGATGCAGATGATGATCTCCTTCACTCACCGGGGGTCCCAGACTGGGCAGCGTGAAGGGCTTTCCTCAGCGTGGGGACGATGTCGCGAACTCGGGTCACAGACGCGCAGAACTTGCACAGTGGCTTGAACAACGACATCTGGTCGATGTCTTGGAGGGCACCACGGTTCTACACAAACAAATAAAGACAGCTTAACCCTATCCGTACGTCGTGTTTTACTATCGTATCCGTATGGCGTTGGGAATTCTGTGCCACCACTTAACCATATCCGTACGTCGTGTTTTACTATCGTATCCATACGACGTAAGGAACTCTGTGCCACCACTTAACCCTATCCGTACGTCGTGTTTTACTATCGTATCCATACGATGTTGGGAATTCTGTGCCACCACTTTCCAAAATGATTTTTTGAGAAATACTGAAAGTTTCAAGAGATCTTCGCACTAGAAGTATTCTAAAATGCGAAGAATACAACCCCGGGGGTACAAAATGATCCCAGGACGTAGGGATAGGGTTAAAGGTGTTACATAAAGCAAAACTGAATGAGTTTTACGCCCCTATCAACACTATTAGGTTATTTCAGAGGCACGACCTCCGAATTTAACGTCGGCCTCTAGTAGAAGCAAGCCAAATGGGTTGATAGCCTTGGACTGAGCAAACGAAGCACCCTTGCACAAACAAGATTAGACCGTTTGATGGTGCTGTAAAAACAGAGGCGCAGCACCTCTTGCAGACTCTTGCAGACTCTTGCAGAGGGTCTGTAAAATCAGCCCCTCCACCCATCCACTGATGAAGGGAGGGCGAGGACACAGGGTGATTACAATGAAAAAAGCAAATCGTTGACATCATTCCACAAACGCTTACGTCATTTTTGGAAGTTTTAAGAAAATTAAAGAAAAAAAAGGTACCTAAATCAGAATTACGCTTCAAGAAAAACAAAACAAGAAAAATGGGAATTATTTGGTTTGTGACGATAATAAAGATGACAACCATGATGATGATAACGATGAAGATGATGATGATGAAGCTAATGATGATAAAGACGTGAAAGGAATTACTTTAAGCAGTGTGGCTGCAGCTCCCCCGATCAACAGGACCGGCGACTCGGCCATCTGGGCATTCTTCACGGCGGTGATGGTATTGGTGCAGCCTGAGGGTGAGGAGTTAAGTTTTAGTAGAGGTTTTACGGCGAACCCAACTGCAAAAGGTCATTATGAGCACCAAGGGTTGTTTAGTTTTAGTAGAGGTTTTACAGCACTCGCAACTGCATAAGGTCATATGAGCACCAAGGGTTGGATGTCAACAGGGAAGTCCAAAACGGGGATTCAGGCTTACTCTGCTCGCCTCTCTAGCCTCAACGGCACAAAGTCTACTTCGACTATCAAGGCACCCCGGAAATAGCAGTTCACAAGAGAGTGACAAACATACAAAAGAAGTAGAGGAAAAATGACCATAGTAAGGAGGAGAAAAGAAAAAGCAGCAGTTCCCCCTATGTTGTTCCGGCACAGTATGAGCATGACATTGATAAATCAGCCCATTTACAATTCTACTGCATAAGAACATGTTAATATCCCCCCTTTGGGAATGGCGTAAAGACACTTCAGTTAGTAGCACTGCCCTGGGGGGGGGGGGGGGGGGCAAGGGTGAAAGATCAACAGTATACAAGCGCATGGATGCTCTCAGATCAATTACTTACATTTATAATCCTAGTATCTCTATCAATAACAGTTACATGTCATATTAAGTATGCACGTAATACACTTTTGGACACTATCATACGCACTTTTTTCAACTAATCAGCAAGCACCACATGTCAATAAAGACATAGAGTTCAGAGGTGTCAACTTGCTTTTAATCCAGAACTTTTTGGGCTTCATGGAAACTTTAGAGAGAGGACTCAAAATTTACAGAGAAAATGGTGAAACGTTACGGGTTTAACACCTCTATCAACCCTATCAGGTTATTTAAAAAACGGGACCTCCGAGTTAAACATCCATCTCCGAAAGGACCGAGCCAAATGGGAATTTCGTGCAAAGTGCCTGTCCCAAGGGCACAAGGTCTAACCAAGATTTACGGATCACATTGTCTAATAATACATCTTGTATCAAGACTGTTTTTGTAATGATCAACCTGAAGTCGGGCAGAAATCATTGGGCAGAAATCGGACAACTTTGGAAATCTAGACCTGTCTTGAAAATCGGCGACTTTGAGTGTTACTGGGGTTTTCTTTGTGCATTTCACATACTTTTATATAAAAACTAAAGGACCAAAATTTCAGGGAAATTCACTTACCAGGCCCTGCTGTAACTGCAGCCACACCAACGGTGCCAGACATTCTTGCCACTGCATCCGCCGCAAAAACGGCCGTGACCTGAAACAACAGTCGTCAAAAATAAACACGGTCATAACAACCACAGCAGGACCGGTCACCTCTTTAGGCTGCGGGCCTACAAAAATAGAATAGACAAAACATCGGACCCAATCTGTCCATTGTGCAGCGAGGAGCCCCAAGATTTGGAGCACTGGCTGCAGAGATGCCCTGCTACGGAGGTCTGGTGGTGGCATCTCTTTGGGGAGGATTCAGGGAGGTTGGACTGCCTCACCCGCTACCCAAGAGAGGCGGTGGCTCTGGCGAAGAGCATGCTCTTCGGGGCTCTTCGGGGGCTCCAAACATTTCGAACGGATAGGCTACCACACACACACACATACCAGAGCAGCATGACTCATTTCAAAGAAGATACCCATTAGTTTTGGTTAGAGTTTTACAGTGCTTGCAACACACATTGGTTATATAAATGCTTAACATTAGACGTGATTGTTTGTCAAGATTTGTCTTACTTTTGATGAAAAAAAAAATACCCATCTGTCTTGAAAAGAAGTAGAGATATTCGCTATTTTGAAGGACGAGGGGGTCGGGTGGCATCAAAAGTAAATTAATTGAGAAAATGGCTGCCAGAGTTTGGTAATTTCCAAAGCTTGAGTGTCCTTCTAAAGTCCAAAATAAACATTCTGTGAGACTTCGATCAACATTATTCAGTAAAATCCACACAGAGAGGTGTTTTAAGTGGACATAAAGATATGATGACCCCCCGGGAGGGGGGGGGGGGAATCCCATAAGACTTGTCCAACAGTAAAAAAAAAATGTTAGTATCTTCAAATTCACCATTTTGACGAAGTGCCTGTTTTCACCACAATGAAACAACACAAAAGGGCATTTACTTGAAGATCCACATACCTCATGTCTGGTGTCCACAACCCGCACTCCGATGTCCTCGCACGACACGAGGATGGGAGAGATATGGCCACCGGCAAGGCAAAACACCTGCTTGACATTGTGAGCCTTTAAACAAAAGAGGGAAAGAGAGATATAATATGTCTATGAAGTTGCCTTTCAACAAACATCTCATCATTTAGATAAATGATAGTTAAATATATATATCATCTCCTATTCATTTTGATGAAGTATTAATAAAATGTTATCTTCTAGTTTAGTTTTAGTAAGCGTTAAACGGCACTTGCAACACAATTAGGTCATATAAGTGCCGAAGATTAGAGGTCTTACAAGAGAGTAACAAACACAAAAAAGAAGGAGGGAGATGAGGACGATAGATGTTTGATAGGAAAGAAGAAGCAGTAAACCAACCACACCAGAGCACCCGCCAACCACCAACAAATGTTATCTTATCTTCTGCTTCATCCACCACGAACGAGTATAATATAAGATAAAACATTTACATGCTGTCTGGTAATTCATCTATCATGATGGAGACTGATAAATAAGAATTACATCTAAGCCTCTATTTATCATGATGGATTTATAATGACATATGTGAGGTGTGCTGACAAAATGAGTTACTTCTCACAATCCACAATAAGGAGATACTGGCCAAAAATCGACACTAGGGTCAAATTTGTAGGTTTTCTATTGATGCAATATTCAAAGTATTAAATGTCTTTTCTTATTTCCTACTTACAAATTGTAAAAAATTTAACCTATAAGCATGATTTATCTTTTTCCATAGGACTCAAATCCGAGAAGAAACTCATTTGGTCAGCATGCTTCACATATTATCTTCTCATTCAGTCACCTAGCTGGAGTATGATAAATGATAATCAAATGTTATCTTTTTTCAAAAAGATTTCATCCCGATAGAACATGATAAATTTATTATTTGAGAACTTTCTTTTCAGTATTGTGACAAATAAGTCACCTATTTCAACTTAAGAAATATATAATCAGACTATTATTAAAAAGGACAGGATGTTTCTTTTTTTGTAATGCAGGTGTTTTTAATACAATAATAATCAATAAAAATTTACATTATTCAGTCAGGCAGCGGACTTCAACCCTGCCTATCAGGGCCAACCTGGGCTGAGAGGCATACAACATCCCAGTAGAAAGACTGAGACACTTGATAAAAATTCTCCCCTTTCAGGAATTGAACTCAGGTTTTCTGTGTGCGACAGCAAAGCGCCTAATTGTCACACACCACAGACACCAAGAAGGAAAGGAATGCCAATCTGTACTACAAAAGAACTGATAGAACAAGCAACCATGACATATTTTACCATTTACTTGATTTAATAAGAGTTTTATGGCTCTTGTGAGTGTCATATATATATATATATATATATATATATATATATATATATATATGAGCGTTTTTACCTTCGTCTAAATACACACTAAAACCAAAACATCGCAATAATAATAATAATAACAAAATTAATGGATAGCATTTATATAGCACATATCCACTTATGCAATGCTCTATGCGCTTAACATGATACATATTATGGATTTACAAATCAATTTTAAAGGCACGTACTGTTACATATGCGTGCACACACATATTCATGCACGCACGCATCACACACACATACATGCATACAAAAACACATACGCACATACCCATATACAAACTCACAACGATCTACATCTTGAATGGATTCTGTCTAATCGAAATATGATGAAAATGGAAATGCTTTTAGTTTCTTCTTAAAATTTTCTAGATTTTCTGATTCTCTGATAGTTTTTGGAAGCCTGTTATTAGCACACATACCTTTAGCACATCTGCCACAAGCATCCCTCCATGTTTTTTGGTGTTTGTATCAACCTGTGGAACAGAGGAAAGATGAGTGGCAAAGAAGAGTCATGCATTTTGCCCACCCCTGACCCCCTTCCCTTTGTGTGTATGTGTGTGTGTGTGTGTGTGTGTGTGTGTGTGTGTGTGTGTGTGTGTGTGTTTGTGTGCGGGTGCGTGTGTGTGTAGGTGGTTGAGGGGGGGGGGGGGGGGGAGTACTGAGTGGGCAAGTTTGTACTGAGTATTCAAAAGTCATTGCTCTTTACTGAAAGAAAGAACAAAATTACAAAGCCAGTCACTAAAAAATTGAGAGGCAGAATATTGATGCCATAGGTATTTTTATTTAAAAATTAATAACACAAATACCTTAATATTATTAAACTTTTACACGATGAGAGACCAAAAAAGACTGTCAAACACTGTTGATGCTAACACATAGAATTCAGTCAATGGATTGCGATGGCCTTAGACAAAATCTTGCAAAGAAGTGTGTTTTACCTGAGCGCATTATTGTTTTTTATGCATTCTGAGTTTGCCACAAGATATATATATCTTTTGGTTAGCGAGGTTCTCTGCGCATTATTGTTTTTTATGCATTCTGAGTTTACAAGATATATATCTTTTGGTTAGTGAGGTTCTCCATCTCAAGCGCAGCTCCATTGAACCTCTCTAAGGTGTTAGCGAGGAGTCACATGTTTAACACGCTGTGGGTCATTTTATGATATCCCGACGGCCAGCTAGTGAGTTGTTGGTTTTGCATGAGGGAAAATTTCTTTGTCCTTCGACCGAGAAGCACACATTATCTCGCCCTCGACACATAAAGTGATCAATAAAGTAAGTCATCACGTGCAGGAAGAGAGCGAGGTTCACTGACCCGTGGCGATCAACCAGCACTTTAATTACTACCTCGGTATATCGCAAGCAAGGTTTAACGGCTCATTTAAATGTCGCGGTGGTGGATAGCGAAGTTCATGCAGAATTTAAAGTGCATTTTCTGGCACTTTTTTGTACTTTGAATCAGGATTCAATATTTATACTCTTTATGTCTCATGGTATCAGGAATCTTTTGGTAAAAATTTTTTGCTTTTTAAGCACAAGTTAGCAAGGTTCCATTAGAGCACTGACATCCGTCCTGAATGCATGTTGATGAACATGCAAATGACGAACGCATACCATTGTCATAAAGACACATTCAGAATAGAGTAAAATACACAGCACAGATAAGCAATGTAACAGATAGCTTTTAAAATTGTGCTCATGTTCACTCGAGTGAACGTCTGAGTGAAAAGAAACACATTTAACAGAAAGTTATATTAACGTCAGGAAATTCTTGTAAATTATGCATAGTGTTATCTTGATACCTTTTTCAAGTCTTTTTTTTTTTTTAGTAGAGGTTTTTGGGCGCTCGCAACTGCATAAATATAAGGTCATACGAGCGCCAGAAGATTAGAGGTGTTACAAGAGAACAACAAACATAAAAAAGAAGAAGGGGAGATAAGGATGATAGATATTTGATAAGAAAGAAGAAGCAAACCACACCAGAGCACCCGCCAACCACCCACTTTTACAAGAGTGAAAAATTACGCCTGACGGAAGCTTGCAGTCAGATCAACCATAATTTGTTCATGTTTAAGATGTTTTGTTTGTTTGGTTGGATGACATAATTATAGAAGCTTTCATTGAGGAACATTTTCCATAAATGACTTTTTGGCTCTTTGGTGCTGGGCAGAGAGTAGGATAAAAAGCAAAAAGTGGGTGGTTGGTGGGTGCTCTGGTGTGGTTTGCTTCTTCTTTCCTATAGATCAAACATCTATCGTCCTTATCTCTCCTCCTCCTTTTTTGTGTTTGTTATCTTGTAACACCTCTAATCTTCGGCACTTATATTTATATATGACTTTATTGTTTTGCAAGTGCTGTAAAACACTTACTAAAACTAAAACTAAAAAGCAGAAAGATAGTTCAACAACTGAAGTAGGTGGAATATAAAATTTAAAAAACCAGTGCCACCTCTCAACAACTCTCTCACATTGGCAATCAGTAGCTTAAAAAACTTTATCAGCAGATTAGCAAGGGGCACTTTCATATTAAGATGCAACAGTCATACTAGGTCTGAGAATTTGAAAGTTAATATCAGCAATATGATCGTCTACAGCCACCTGAACTTTTTGATAGTCCGATCATTATCAGTGTAGCAGTGTGAAAGGATAACATTACATGACAAGAATATTTCATTAGATAAAAATAGGAGACGCGGACAGATCAAGGAGATGGCAAATATTTAATGATATATAATATCTATATATCACAACTACAATAAAAATGTGACAGCAACATGTTACATAGATAGAGGTGTGAGATCAACACCTTTCCTTCTATTGTATATATATATATATATGATATAGGCTATATATATAGTGCTAAACTGAAGGCAATGCAACTCGCCAAACTGAAAGGTGGGCAAAGGGCAACAGATGGAGGGGATCCTATTACTGTTTTGACTCACAAATAATAACACTCTGCATAGATTCAGTCAATCTGTATAAATTATGCGAGCGCCAATGTTCTAGAAAGCATTTAGACTATCTATCATTTCTGAAATCATGGGAAAACTGCCTCAAACAGCTATGATACTTTCAGAATTTTCTTAAAAGCTGAGCGTTTAAAAATCCAAGGGAGTTTTAACTACAATTTTAAAGTAATCATCACAGAATTTCAAGAATCATTGAATTATAATGTAACAACAAAGTTGATTTAATGAGAAAGAAGAAAATAAAGTAGCAAAAAAAATGCTTTGAGAAAAAACTTGACTCAAGCTTCATGAAAACTGTGTATATGTTTATATTTCGGAAAGACTTCCGTAATGAGCGACCACCTCAACAAACACAAAAAAGAAGAGACCTAACCCTAACCCCCTCTATTCTACTCTGTTTCATAGCGGTCGCTCGTTACAAAAGTCCTCCCTGTATTTCTATGAAAATGGGATTTTACCAGTTTCCCAGTCACTATGAGAACAATACTTCTCTGTAAATTACTATTTGTTAACATGATTGGTTAGTACTGTCTATCTTCTTCTTCTGTGTATGCCCCAGCTAGATTTCAAGTTCATGGGTAGTCAGCACAACTGATTTTTATCATGTATGTGACAGTTTTTCTTTTTCTAGGAGGTTCCTTGCCTTCAGCCAGCAATATTCCGATTTCAAAGGTACTCCTGCACTGTATTTTCTCTATACTGACAAGAATATTATATTCTATTTCAGTGTTGGTAGAAATTTATTTTAAATTTTGCTATGGTGACATTTGAAGCTAGATCTAGACTCTTAGATTGTAGGACCACCAAGGGATCTTTCGCAGCTTGCACACGGGAACTCCAAAGACTTTCCGTCCCTGCCCGAGAAGGCTAGTTGTTCTTCTATCCTATCCCAGAATCAGAGGGGTGGCAGAAAGGTAGCAGTAAGGAGGAGTTAGGAGTATAGAGCAATAGAAAGAGTCTGGAAAGGGATAGGCCTAGAGGAGCACAGAGGAAGTCCAAGGAGGGGGTAGAATAAAGTGGAAAAGAAAGCAGAGATGATGATAGAATAGGACTATCTGAAAAGGAAACAAAGGAGAACATTTTACAGAAGAAACATTCTTTTGTTTCTGGCAGGTATCGAACTCCGGACCTTTTGACTTAGAGGCGAACACTATAATACTCATTACATGAATATAAGAAAAATCTAGATCTAGATCTAGATTATCTACTTGCTGCTGGAGAAAGATGAACCTTTACTTTTTCTTCAACTTAACTAGAATCTACTTGATCTACTATTCAAGTCTGAGCCTTTACGTGTACTCAGCTTTAAACAATTAGAGACCCAGATCTATAAAATAAAGAATCCCATTTCTCTGATAAAAACTAAAGCTCTACAAACAAGCCGAAGAGAAGAAGAGTATTCATCTTGTTATGTTACAATTTCTCCCTCTCTTGTCTCGACCTCGGAAAACGGTTCAAAGTTCATTTTAGTTCAGTCGAAGTCCAGCTAATCTAGATCTAGAATCAAGTTATTTGCAAATGCAAAGAAAATAACTAAGGTCCTCACCTTATGGAAAAGCTGATAAAGTATTCCAAATTTCTTCAGAAAAAACAGCACTCCCAAGGATGCAGCGGTAAGACCTGTGGGAACGCCATACTGGGAAACGTATTTTTGCAGGTTGCTACCGAGGCGTTCGAAGTTCTCCATTTTGACTGTGTAATGTCATGTGACATGCACGATATAAATAGCTTGTAGTAAATGAGCGTCCCGAGACAGAAGTTGTCTCGTCGATCGGCTTCATTGATCCAACACTACTGCTTTACTTTGCCAAATTGGCTCGTTCGACATCTGCTTTATTCCTCTCTCTCTCTCTCTCTCTCTCTCTCTTTCTCTCTCTCTCTTTCTCTCTCTCTCTCTCTCTCTCTC